CAAGCACGAAAACTCTCCTCTCTATCTAGTTCTGTGGGAGCATGGATGTAAAGTACTCACAGGATAAGCAGAAAGGTTCTCTGCAGCAATCCTATATTCATTGTGTAGAAAGAGGTCAACCAAACACCTGGACTCTGGTCAGTGATCTTCAGTTCTCTTTCCTCTACAGGAAGCCTGGTGTGATCATACTTTTCACAGAACCACAGGGTAACCACTCAGGCTCAGTGAGTGGCTGAGCTACCAACAGCTGGTTTACTATTTATTTGTCATATGAAGATATGGTGTCAAGGACAGCTGTGTCACACACTTCTTGCAGAACACTTTCAATGAGTGCTTCTGGTCCTCACCCCATAAATTCAAGCTTACATAGCTCTGGGAATATAGTGATAACCCAGTGCGTTATCAAATGCTTAGGGGATGGACAACCCCCTAACCAGAGAGTCTCTCGTGGAGCAGCCTCCACCATTGGGATTTTGCTCATCAGGGAAAACTATGCACATTCTCTCTAATTTTTCCTTTGAGCTCAAGCAAACACCCTATGTGGAACACCTGAAATGAGATTTTGCCATATTGAAAGATACTTCCTTCTGTCACATCTGTTTCCTTCTAACAACTTGGAAATTAATCCTCTCTTCATATTTAAAAGTTAGTTCCTGTTGATAAATGGCTTCAATTTTTGTAACTTAGGTTGTCGTTTAATACATGCAGTACTTATGCAGAGCTTACTGAATTATTTCATTTATTGTTTTCTCATACCTATGAAGACACTACTGTTTATGAGAGGAATGAAAAGAGGTTCCAACAACTGCACATGCCAAAACCTCAGTTCAGCTATGTAACAAACTGAAGGTATTTGTGCATTAAAAAACCTCCCACTTTCATCATTTTAGAAAGATCTAACAAGACTGAATTTTGAAGTAATTTTTTTCTACTGTTCATACTTATCCTTCCAAAGGGCTTGCCATATGGCCAGAAGGGACTCCTGCTTGGAGGGATGGCAATACCAAAGCTAAGCTGAGTTCCCAGTAGAGTTGTATACTGTTTACATTGCAAAAAAGGAATACAGAAATTCATAACAACTAATGTGTATTTGCTTCTCAACATTTCATGTTAAGGGTTTGGGCTACATTATAAAGGCTTAAAATAACTTCTACACAGAACTCAACACTGGGAATCACTGCTGAAGAGAAGCAGGCATTTTCTTGTGTTTATTTATAGCTTTGTCTGCTTCTACAATGAACAATTTGGAGGGGTAAAGCATCAACGTTTAACTTTCCATGGTTAAATGTCTCATGACTAATTTTCTTGTAATTTCTTTTATTAAACTCATCTTACTGATGAGCTAAAGCTTGATAATAGCCACGGAAAGAACACCACGACACTTCTATTCAAAAACATGGATATTTTGTTATCTGCTTTTCAACAATCACTAGCCTCTGCATTGTGTGTCATATTAAACTTTGTGATACCTTCCTGTCCCAGTGACAGAAATTTAAAGCAAAATAAAAAATGATGAAGTGTAAAGAACTAGGAAATTTGCTTTTAAGTACAGGTAATGTTATTAAATCTCCGTAGATGTATCACTGACATATCATCTCTGGAAAAAGCAAAATATATAGACAATTCAGGATAAGTAACATATTGAATAATCATGTTCACAAAAGTGAAGCCAAAGTATTCCAGAGATTATAACATGAGTCACAAAGAATCTCAGTGAAATCACACTTTCAAAGTCTTTCCCAAAGGTTCAGTCTGCATATGTTGCATATGCTCAGTCAAAAATGTCATTTTTGCACAAAATTTTACACTTCAGCTTCAAAATTATCTCAGTGGTATAAAAAGGAAGTAGTGACTCATTTATGGGCAGCACAGTTTGGCTGAGGTAGGTACTAAACTTAACTTTAGGACTGACTGCATGGCTGTTGGGAAACCATTTCACCTATTCTCTTTCTTCATACTGCCCCACTGCACGGCCACTGATTCTGTGAAAGAGACTGAGCATGTGTGTGATGGTCCAAAGCTATGAAATGATGTATCTAGATGGCATTGTCTGTGACCATTTCACACACATAATTGCCCCACATCATTCCTGGATGCAAAGACCCATTACATTAAAATTTATATGGCTAATGTCCAAATTCTATTTCAAAAAGGCAGTATCTGAAAGAGGAATATTTATTGTTGTTTTTCAAGACAAACAGAAAATGCAAATAATGCAAATGTGAATAATGCAAATATTGTAAATGCAAAGAGTAATTACTAAAAGACACATTCTACAGATGAATTCTCATGTAGCTAGAAGGTGCTAACTTCTTATTCCTCTCCTCCAACTGAACCGAACCTCTGAAATGAACTCATATTTTACATGTATCATGTATTTTAACACAGTGTTGTTAAATCAGGTTACACCAAACATGAGCACCAAACACCACCACCACCATTTAACAGTGAAACTGAGGTAGGTTTAAGTAGTGTTCCCCAACTAGCACAGCAAAGCATGGAGCTCTCTCCCATGTGCTTATGCATTGCTCTTCAGAGTCATCTCAATTGCATCTTGCAGTTCCTGAGCCCGAAGACACAAAATACATAATTTTTTTCAGTTGGTTAGTCATTCCTAACATTCAAGTCATGGTACAGGTGCTAGGAAAGAGAGTGAAAGATCAAAAAACCCCTGGAAAACATAAACTTAACATAAATTAAGGCAAGTTGATCTGTCCTGAAATGAAAGCAAACTGCAATCTAAGCAGAGAGTTGGATATAGGACTGTCTTCGAGGGCCCTCCTCCAGGGGCAAACACGATTATTAAGAAGAGAGGCATCTAAAAACCTTAATCGGGTGCTAGCACAATGTACTTACCAAACACCTGTAACTACAAGTCCCAGGCCCAGAGCTGGCCATACCTTTGTGCAAAAAGGCTAGAGTTTCCAGAAGTAAAGACCATGGAAGACTACAGTGTATGGATGGACAGTGCTTCCATGCATTTGCAGTAGACAGAAGATTACACGGAGTGTCAGTTAAAATATTCCTTTCTCTTATCAGGGTCTCCTATCATTTAGTAGGAAAGAAGGGGGAAAAAAGCTTCTCTTCCAGAAAGTCTTGAGCTTTCCAATTCAAGAGCTGTGATGCATGCATCATTAACTTCTATGCAGAAAACATTGTTCACTCCAACCAGCAATTAGTGGCAACATTTTTATCCTGTGCAGTGATGAGATTTTTATGCTAATCATTACACAGCAGTAAATTAATCATTTGGGCACATTTAGATGGTATGTATATTTCATGAGACAGATATAGATATCAAGATCAGTTTGATATTTACTTATGGTAAATGGAAGTGTCTCAAACGGTTATGGGGGAAGCATACTAACTAAATACACACAGCCAAGGATGTTTGCAGAGCAAGAGCAGCAGCACTGCTTCAACTCCTTTGTTTTTAATTATTTTAAGGGAGCTAAAAATCTTGTGAGAACACATAGAACTGAATCATTCAGAGACAGTGAAACTTCAATAATGTCTTGGCACAATGAAGGACAAAAGCACCTATCCTGCAATTCTTCTTTTATTACTGGCAAATTACTTACATTATATTATGCAATATTGAAAACAGACTTTTCATCAGCATTTGTGCTATAGTCTAGTCAGGTAAATGAATTATGTATTGGCCTCTTCCCTTTGTAGCTATGTCTCAAACCTTTGAGTTGTAGCTGAAAGGAAGGTTACCCAGGGGCCTCCCTTCTCGGCAGATGCAAGAGATTTGTAATACCTTGAGGAAAATGATTATTTGAAATTTAAATTCGTGACATATATTTAAATACTACTGCTGTTTTTTCAGCTCTCAGCTCACAGATCTTTGCAGGCAAAAAAGCAAATGTTTATTTGAGGGAAATGCATACGTGATCCCTTTGACTTAGAATGTTGTCAAATTACTTATGAAAAGCACTTATGAAAAGATTTCTGTCAGGTGACCCTCACAATAACAGTAATATAAATAATATCCTCAGCTATTCCTTTGTCAATTAAAGTTGAGAAAGATTCTCAAAGATAATGGCACGTCAATTGCAACTTGACCGATCAATACATGTTTAATGGATACCAATTGAAACAGCATAATTGCTACACTGAGCAGAGGTAAAGATAAGCTATTGCACACACAGTACAAAATCCCACTAGGAAAGAAAAAAAAATTTATTAGCATGTCTGTGTTTATGGAAATTTTTGAGAGACATCTGAACGGGCAGATTATCAGGAGAGCACTATGAACAGATGAACTTTTAGGTTTGAGAACTAATACCGATCAGAAAGAAAAAAAGGTAAATCAACGAGATGGTGTTTTATTTTAATGAAATCTGGTTTTACATGTAAAAAAATAATTGTTTTTCAATTTAAGAACCAAAATATTTTCAATTTCACTATTTCTATAAAAATAAGACGGCAATTTTGATTTTTGAACATTTTTTTCTAAAACCTCTCTGCAAAGCTTCTCTCTAGAACTGTGTATCTGAAGCTAATGCAAAGGTTTATATTTTCTTCAGGGGCACCGTGGTCTTAATTTTTTTGGTCTGTCTTACACAGTTGTGCTGCTTTTGGCTGGGGTACAGGTAATTTTCTTACTTAGGAGCCAACAGCACACCTTGGGATGTGCTATGGTGCCATGTGCACCCTTGCACTCTTCTCCTCTGCAGAGGAGTGTTCTCCGTTTAACTTGAGGCAATGGAGAAAAACACAAATTAACACCATTTCCAAGCGAGCATAGGTTAAGATTTGGAACAATATAGGTAACTTCATGGAATACCCTTCTGAATCTCTGATGCACAAAGTCACATACCTTGAGGGAAAACAATAAGAAACGCAGTTCAGGAAACAGTCAGTAATATTCTGTGAAGGTCAAAAGGTTGGATTTGGAGACAGCTGAGGATGTGTCCATGATGAGTACCACCAACTATGCCCTTGTCAAGCAAGTCAGAAAAAAAAGCATAGGCATCATGCCTGGAAGGCAGAGGAAGTCTTTGCTAACTTTATTTATTTCAATATTGTTTCTTTAAAAAAGATAGAGCAGCATATCTCCAGCCATCTTTTATGCTCCTGAAATTATTTGGAAGGAAAACTGAAATAGTTTATAAATTTGATGGAAAACAGCTATTATTGTGGTAAACAGATATCATGATTATGAATTCTATAGCAATGAATTGCTCATCACTCAGCTATTGCTCAACAGCAGAACTGATTAACAGCACCAGGGACTGCCTGCCATTTGGTTTAATACACCACATTGTTTGTTACGTTAGTTGTTTGGTGTTGATTATATTGCAGCAGTTATTCACATCAGTGAGTCTGCTTGTTGTAAAATTTAAAAGCACAAGTAAGGATCATGTCACAAAGAAATGAGCAGAAATCATACATCTTAAAATATTCCCCAAGACCAGTTATATCTCCTCTACAGATATACCTAAAACTCACCTGAATATTCATAATCTCTGTAGGAAAAAACAAACAAACAAACAAACAAACCCCCCTAAACCAACAAAGTATATAAGAATCAAATTCCCAGATGAATTCCTTCATCAAAATGAATATGCACGAGCATCCTCCCACCCAGCTTCCAGCCGGAAAGGCCATCCCCACACGGGAGGGGCAGCTGGGAAGGGCTTCAGGACTCTGAACCAAAATCTGCTCTTACACTTTGTTGGATATCAGCTGGCAGGTACTGAAGGTCACAAATCACAGCTGTGATGCTGTTTCTGAAACATCATGGCATTTCAGAGAAAAAGTGCCATATGAAATTCTCTACTTGTCACTATGGCGAGTCTGCCATGGGACGGAAAAGGACACACGTGGCCAAAAAAAGATGGGAGAAATAAGAGTCCTCTGGTTGGCTTCCTATCCTCTGTGTCCTGGTTTATCTGAGTCTTACATGAACCTTTAGTAACATTTAACAGCAGAGCTGAATGAAACCATTAAAAGCCCAATTATTTTAGCATTTTGACTACTATTTGACCACTCTACCACATATTACCATTAAAACAGACAAGATTAATTTGTCCTATAACCTGAAAACTTCTAGAAACTACAGTATTACCTTAAAACAGTAAAAAGAAAGGGTTGATTGGTTAATAGTGCTTCATTCCAATGTACAGAATGAAAGACAGAAACAAAACAAGTAAACATGTACAGTAACTCAATACATTAATTATTCTGATGAAACAAATTTATTTGGTGCACTTTTCCTGCTGCATGGGATCACTGTGCATACAAATGTTTATTATATCATTGTCAAAGAGGTATCCTACCTCCATTTGAAATTTAAGAAGGACTTAAAAGAATACATTTTAAATGAAAATCACAAATGGAAGAGATCAAAACAGCAAAAAGAAACAGGTATATGTAAAAAAGCATGTACTTTGAGAAAAACAGATACAATAATGAAGCACAAAATCAAGGTTAAAAGCAGAATTTAGCATAGTTGTAGTCCACATGCATTAGTGGACTTACAATCTTTATTGAAGAACAGAAATCTTCTTTCTTGCTGTTTTATTACCTTGGCAACATCTCCTCCATGTCAGCAATTACATAGGAGACAACAGTCCAAACAGCAGCACAGAGATTCATCTGGTTTGGATCCTGAACTGTCATCATGTCCCCTTGAGAATGATGAAACCAGAAGTATTTACTGATGTCATTATGCAAGCTGGCACCTACAGATAGAAATGGGCAAAGTTCCATTATAGGAATACAAATATTTAAAGAAGAATATAAACTTGAATCTGTTCCTGGGCTGTTTATGATTAAATCCACATGCAACTGTATAAAATTCATATATATTCAAAATATAATAACTGTACAGAGCCATGGCATGTGCAGTTTGTATGTTTTGGGTTAATTGACTTGAGTGATCATGAGGCAGCAAAAATTCACACCAGGGAAAAGCCAACCTTCCCCTGGGAGACTCGTTTCCTCAGCAACAGTATGCATCCATTTTCCTCTGAAACTAGCAGAGTCCAAGCAGGAAAATCCCTACTGTAACCCCATGGCAGTGCTTCCCCTGTTCTCTATCCCACTGCTCTGATGATGAGTTACTACTGAGTTATGAATCCTTTGCTTGCTGTTATTTATGATTGGGAACACTTTGGAGTTTGCTTCTGCTTTTGAGCCCTTGTTCATCACAAGGATGTGCTGTTTCAGAGCAATTTTGCAGATAACGTGGGGTAATTCAGAGAGCCCAAGACTACATTCCTCTCACAGTCAGGAGTCCTCATAAGCTGGGGCAGAAGCAAGTTGGGTGAAACCACAGTTCCTCCCATTCAGGAACAACTGATTCCCTCTAGGAGCACATGGGCAGGGAAAGAACTACTACTACCCAAGCCATCTGGGCTCAGGGAGCACAAATACTGCTTGCAAGGCATCACTCAAGGCAGACCAAAGCCAAGATGAGTTGGAGAAGCTGCCACCCCACTGGGACCCACAGCAGAGACACTGGCAGAGAATTTTCACCCTGTCCATTGTCTGCCTGGTCCAGACCCTACTGACCCTCCCTAACCCTCCTGTTCCCTTGAAATTCCTTCCTTCTCAGTTCATTATCTCTGCCTTTTCTCTGGTTTTATCAGCCTCAATCTGCTTTGTTGTAATCTCAACAACCATTCCACCATTAACAGAATTCCACACATTTTGAAAATAAGTAAATGTGATATTTTCCCCCCACCACACTAATTCACTGCTTGCAGTTCCTTTGCACTGATTCCCTTGGCCTGCTCACTGACAAGGGCTCAGAGCTGTACAGCTCCCAGGGTAGGACCCATCTAGCACAACAGGACCTGTTCCTTGCTTGGTCATCAAACCCAGAGAACATCCACTGATGTGAATTCACAAGTATGAGCCATGGGCTGCAGGAGGAAACACAGACTGAAGCTACTCCTACTATGCCAAGTAAGGAGGAAAAAACCCAGGATTGTTTCATAATAAAGATTAATTAAATTAATTATTCATGTATTTATTTACATGCAGTGGAAATCAGTATCAGATGATGAGGGCTTTATGTGTGCTCATAAGATTTACTGTTATGATTTTTCTTAAGTTTTCCTGAGATGCCTGAAGCCTTTGAAGAAAATGAAAGCAAAATTTCCCACAGCACAACTGTACATTCCTATAATACATATCTTTTGATCACTCATATAGTCATTCAGAACAGAGAGTCCAGCTCTCCCTGTGGTTAACAGGCATGTTTTTATTGCTGTAATGGAGACTGACTTGGATTGCTCATTTCACTGCTATTTTAGAGAAAAGGAATAGAAAGTTAATGCATTTTATAAATCCATACAAGATGAAGATTCCTTCATAAGAGAAATGATAAGCAGAAAGACCAAATGGTGTAGCATATGGTTATATGTTATTGTGACTGATTTTGTTTTAAGAGGCTCTTTTTCTTAAATGACTTGTTTGCTACTGACTTGAAGCAATGCAATCCCGCAGAAGTCACTGGATAGGTTACAGGTGCTGAATTATGTTCCAATAATTTTCACATCGAATTTATGCCAACTCATATTCACTTTTAAAATTTGATTCTAAATCCTTTTAAATATATGCAACCATAAAAGGATTGAACAATGATAAATTCTTTAACCGACAGACTTCTGCAATAAAGACACATTACAAATTAAGCCACTGAGGCAAACTCATTACAGTTTTTGAAAATTTCTGTAAGACAGAAGACAAAAACTGGTTGCCTGGAATTTGTCGTAGGACAAATTTTACTCATCACAGTAACTACGGATTTACAGAGTAGTGCTCTATCCCTGTGAAAGAAACAGGAACAAACACTCTTTGCTTTGTCATGTTTAATCCTCTGAAATGCTGAAAAAGATTTTTTTTTTCTCTAAATTGATTTTATAAATCAGAAAATTATAGACTTTGACATCAAGAAATTACTGTGACACATCAGAATGTGTGAGTAGACAGAAAGGTTCTCAAACTGGCCATGCTATCACTTTCATGTCATGGGCTAGCATTGAAATCAGTGACCTGTAAACGTCTTGTGAGACTAAGGAAAAGACCCTGAGAAAGCAGTTTTATCCTATGTAATTAGAAACAAAAATGAAAATCCATGTTCTTGGTTTTGAGCACAAGAACAGTTCACAGCCGAGGGCCTCATGCAAGCCTCTAGACATGAAACACCCTGGGGCGCAGAAATGACTGCAAGCAATTTTCATGTCTCCTGCTGCTTCAAACCTGAGACTCCTCCACATTGATGTTAGCTGCCTGGAGACATTTATGAGTCCAGAGGTCACCAGGTTGCAGCAAGATACTGAATAGTGCCCTTTCATCAGTAAATGTATCCAGGACTGAGGTCAACCCTTGCAGATGATTGTGAAGAGGGAAGTTCTGTGGGGCTCTTTGGACTGCAGTCATGTTGGGTTACCTCAATAAAGTCCATGGGAACCTACAGCCCCTTTTCTTAAAGTCTAACAGAAGAAGCAATGCCATGAGCACATCGGCCACCCCCAGAAGGTGGGGGTACAGTGCTTCAAACAGTGAGGTTTCAAAGAACATCAACTGGCTGACTGTAACATATCCTTGATAGCCACTGAATTATTAAGCCTTCTCAAAGGAAATCTGCCTGAAAGTCAAACATGCCATGTCCGGAAACTTGAAAGAATCCGGGAAAATTCCCCTAGATACAATCTTTAAAACTTCACTTGCTACCTATTTTGTTATTTCACCTAAAATTGATCCGTTTGTTATGCATTTTTTGTTGTTGTCATTATGTAACATTTCTCTCAAGAACAACATTCAGTAACAAATGGGGGCTCATTTTTGCCAGCTATATAAGCTAGCTGTCAAGTAAAACAGATGAGTATCCGTGGTTCATAGACCTATCAATTATTCACCCATGTCCATGCTAGCCACCTAGAAAGGAGACAGTATGCAGTCATGCAAATGTCTGAAAGCTTTAATTAAGTACTTAAAAGTTCTCAGCTGGGACGTGTTATGTAGGTATGTACTGCATATCTAATTCTGATTTCCAGGTGGAACCAACACTCAAACAGAAAAAGAAAGAGACGGGCTCGGTGCTACACTGTCACATTTTATGCACTTTTCTTTTTTCCTGTTTGCAGAGTATCCATAAAGAAAAAAAGAGATGTTTGCCAAACAACCCTCTTTAATTGTCCTTTTTCAGTCTGTTCACATTTACAGTGATGCAAACCACATAAGGGACAATGCTGGCCAAGAAGGAAATCAATGAGAAACTGCTTCTAGCTGGATGTAGTAGGTGTTGTGGCATGAAAATAGGGAATGTTAAAAACTGCTGCCAAAAATGTCGTACTTATTAATTGAATGCATCAAAAATGATGGAAATTAGAAACTGAAAATAATTAATAATTTACAGCTTCAATGAAATAATACATGGATAATTCACAGTACCATTACAAGGTAGCAGAAATCCCTCTTTAGTACAGTTTAGTTACCTAGTTTAGTGCAGTACTTTCACCTATCGGTAGCTATTTAGTGCCACTGGTGATCCCCTAGGGTCAAACACTGGGACACATTGCCCAGGGAGCTCAAGGGGTGCCTGCCAACCTCAACCATTCTGTGGAATTCTAACCCATGTGCCATTTCCTTGGCTCTTTCAGACATCTCTTAGAATTGACACAGCATAAACAAAATCTTTGACTCAAGTTCATTCGTGTCTTGAACTCACTTCATGAGTCTCTGCATAACCAACTATTTCATACATGGTTTGATGCATAAGGCAGGTAAAAGCAGCTGCTTTGGTAATGGATACTGACAATATATTTTTAGTAATCAGTTGCATAAGAGTATCATGATGAAAATATACACACACACACGTAGGAATTCTGAAAAACAGTCCATTCCTTCTAGCTTCTAGTCTCAGCATGAAATGCAGAATGTGAATATTAATTAGCCGATGATGAAGATACTGACTTGCCTTACAACACATTCACATTAAACACCAATTCTTCACACGTTAATAAACTGTTTGACTCAACTTTTTCTTGCCACTTTAAGAAGATGAAATGCTACTATTGAGGTAAAAGATTTAATGACCTACAAAATGAATGATGAGCAGGTCAATGACGACCACTGCTTCTTGTCAATCTCCATCAGGTGCTACTGCCTTCATAAGCACTGCTGTGATAAGTCAGCATTAGAACAGAACTCTAGTGCCAGATATTTAAGCATTTAAATTATTGTCATTTGTGAAAACACTGACTGGAAAACCAGTTACTGATTATCAGGATGATTACAAAGACAGCTTCCATAAAACACAAATATGTTCAAGGGGGAAATCATGCAGTAGCTCCAGAATAACTTTTCTGCTTAAAATGTTTTGCATTACACTTCTCTCTACATTTCATTTCTCTTCTTTTTATATCCCAAATAGCATTGAATTGCCAAATGAAGCCAAATGTGAGTCTTGAAGTCAGTACATGTTTCCTATAGAGCCCTATCAATAGCTTGCCAATTGTCTTTGCTTCAAGTAAAGTTGAACTTCAACTATTCCATGAATCTTTCAGATACAATGGGAAAATCCCCACTGTTTGGGGATACCTCTCTTGGGCATTCAGTATTACAGTTAGATCTTTGGGATACTGACCTCTACATGTATGTTGCCATATACAGTGAAGTTAATATGCTAATGATGTATAAAAAAGCATATAACTTTTCCAGGTTTCCTTTT